GTCTTGATCTTGAATGTAAAGGGACTAATACTGGCTGTTTCTTTGAGATAGCAGACGTGTGTGCATGTGTGTGTGTATTTTGGTGAGTAGGAGGAATCCTTGGTACAAAGAGCTAATTTAATCATAGTCTTCAGTAAATGGAACATTATCATCATTGATCTGCACAACCCTGTTTTTCTGGTTTCTTGTTTTTGACTCATCCATTGATTTATTTGTGCATTTACTCAATTTCCTCATATCTCACTATGTCTCAACTATTCTAATATGATGTGTAGCCTTTTACTTATTTTTATAAATATTCATTGCTGTTTCGTAGACATGTAATTTTGAATTTTAAATTTAATTTTTTTAAGGATTGTGTTAAGCTTTCTAGTTTTGTCCTTCCTGACTGCTTTAAATATTTTTTAAAAAGATTGTGTTAAGCTTCCTAGTTTTGTCCTTCATCACTGCTTTTAGGGTCAATCCATGTTTCTGTGTGTATATCTAGTGTGTTATTAACTCAGACTCATCCTCCATGGAGTTTACCTATAACACACTACCTAATTGCTTCCCCAGTGATGGACATTCTACATTTCTGCTACCCACTAACAGAAATACTGCTGCAATGAGTAATCAGAGGGCACGCTTTTGAGTTTCTCTAGGATCATATGCCTTGGAGAAGGATCCCTGGGTCATGGGGAATAGATGGATTTAACTAGAGTAAACATTGCTGAGTGGTTATGCAAAATAAACTGTACCAACCTTCCATGAACAGGGCATAATATATCCACAGCCACACTTTCCAATACCAACTGTCTAATTTATCACCCTCTGATAGACATAAAGTGATAATTATGAATGTTTCTATTTTTATTAATACAATTGAGCATCTCTTTGAGATTTTCTATTCTGCGAATTTCCTATTCAAACCTCTCACCCATTTTCTATTAGGGTTCATGTCTTTTTCTTGTTATTTGCAAGTGTTTAACTTTTATATATTAATCCCTTGTCAATTTTAGACATTGCAAACACCTTCTCTCAGTCTAAATTTTCCATAATGTTCTATATTTAAGATAAATCTTTAATTTTTATGTAATTTTGCATTTATGCTTTCTGCAATTGAGATTTTGAAAAATAATTAACACTTGAGATTTGATAAAGTTGTAGAATACTGAGTACCTAATGTGTGCTTTTTTCTTCAAATAGCATCTTAATTAAGTGTTGAAGAGAATATTTCAGTTTATGTCCTGATCCTGAATGTCAAGGAGTTGCTCATCAATTCTAGACAGAAATACATTGTGATTGACTTTTAGTCCATCTGCATCTAATATTATATATAGTTTTGATGAGGATTTATCTTCCAGTTCTATTCCTTTGCCACTGTAAGGAATAAGCCAGGTATGTGATTATGTATCTGGGAAAAGATACATATTCAGGCAGAGGAATAGCAAGTATAAAATTGCTATGTGGAAACAGGCTTGACATCTTCCAGGATCAGGAAGAATTCCACCGTGGTAGGAGAGCACAGAGCTAGGGACGGAGCTGTCATAAGTGAAGAAGTAGGCAGGAGCCATTCAGCAGAGTCCTTGAAGCCATGGGAAAATGATGGATTTCATTCTAAGTGTAATTGCAATCCATTGGAGGGTTAAAAGTAGAGTCACACAATTTGAGTTACGTTTTAAAGAAGATTTCCATGGGGCTTCCAATGATGGATGAGATTAAGAGCATTCTACTTCTTTTCTCCTGATAATTATAACTTAAAACTTCAAACAGAATACAGAAACAACTATTAGAAGACTCTAAATAAATGAGTATTTGAAAAACCAGATTCCTTAGAGGACTCCCCTGAGGTTATATTTTATTTTCCTTATTTTTTCTGTTTACTGACCTGATTTGCAGGCTATTGGGACTGATCCTAAACCCATTTGGTCCTGGGCATTATTGGTTCTGATGAGTGAATAATACCTGCTGTCTAAAAATAAGCAGCCCCAAATCTTTTGTGTTTTATAAGAAACTGCTTTGGTGACTCCTACCTTTTCCAACAACACATCATGTCCAGTATGTATATATGTATCTAGTTTGGATATTTCAAAAGAAATGTCACCACTCAATATGTACTCACTTGAGGCTTTTATTTAAAGGATACATGGTAGCATGAGAAAGAGAATGCAAGCAGGTATTAGAAGTCCCCAGAAATATCCCATAGCTTGAACTCCCCTGGGCTCCATCTGCATACTAGGACTGAGCAGTGTCCTAGTGTGTCCATGATTTGAACTGTCATCTGTGTAAAAAATCTTGGCTCCCGGAGAGCAATCCAAAAATATCTCAGTAGCTCTTTTAGTCAAACCACTTAGTCCTGTTGCCTAACCATAAGTTAAGAAGGTAAACTTGGAATATGCCAAGGATGTTTCAGTCCCTAAACAGTACATCATAAATGCCACTGACCTTATCTTAAGAGTAAAAATCATCCAGTGTCTAAATATCCCGAAAGATTAAAAACAGAACATTTCCAGTACAGTTGTAAATCAGCTCTATTCCAACAGCCTTCTAACTCTTGGTCAAAGCATTGCAAGTACAAATTGCTGATGGGTGTTCCTGTCCTTGTATCTTTCATACTATTTACAGGAAAAAAAAAAGGAACAACTGCTAGAATACTATTTATTTGTATCAACAAACAAGTGGGGTATAACTGTAAAGAAAGCTTTCAGTTTGCCAAAGATTCTAGAAGATTCCAGGGCCAACTTCTTCGTAATCATGCACAAGCTTGACAATAATTTGACATCCTTCTGCCACTGAAATGTAAACTTTATAAAGGGTATCAATGGATTGATCCAATGGAACGATTAATTCTTTGTTAACTAAATCTAGCTCCTCCTTTGCTCAATCAGCTTCTATTGGAAGAAAATCTTGTAGAGGTTTTAATTCAATCTGACAATACATTTGGCCGTCAATATCAGTGTTATGGGTTTAGTCAAAATCCATTAAATTAACCTTATAATTATACCAGCATTACACCAATTAGCAGTTAAATTACCAATTAGATTAAGATCAACACAAAACAAATCAGTTAAAATTATTTTCACATTTCCCTGGCTTTCCCAGAAAAAAGTGACTTTGTCCATATACCTAATGTTGTCGTGGATTGAAGTATAAATCAAGAGGCAAGTTGCAGTTAGTTCTGGATTCCAAGTCCCTTATGGGCATAGTTATATGGTCTGTTTCATACTACAAAGTTTTACGGATACAGGTTCCCAAGGTGTTTATTTTTAAGAAATGTCTGTCTTTCCCCCACTGGTAAAATCTTGAAGTTTAATTAGTTTTAACTGACTTCACCAATGGGTACGTCTGTTTTTATTTATGCACGGGACTTTGACAGTTAAGAAGCATGCATGTAGACTGTATTCTCCATTTAGAAATTTCCATGCACTCAGGAGACCATAAGTCTCTTGTAACTCATCCCTAGATCCCAGAACATTGCCCTTAAGCTAACTGCTTCCATCTGGAGGAGCATGCTTCACAGCTCCTCTTTGGTTACTGTGCATGCCCTTTTCTACCTTTGTTCCCTAGGGTGCTGCCTAACTATCTATTGAGTCTGTTTGCCTACTTCTCCAAGGCTGTGTTATCTGCCCAGGCTTCTTGCTACCTTTTGCCTTTCTCTTGAAATAACATCCAAACTAATAGGCTAATATGGGCCAATAAGTTGTTTCTTCAGTATATTTTCTATATATAGTAAAAGTAAGTTTGGCTTGTCGTAGGAATCCTAGGACTATATCAATTTCATCCAGGGCTCTTTTACAGTGTTTTGGACAATGTTGGCTTACTGAGTGCATATACTGTTGCCATAGAGTCTTATAGAGTACATACAAGTTGAGTACATATTTAGGACACAAAAATGGTGAATTCCTCAGGATAATGTCATTTAATCAGTAGTCATCCCCCAAAACACTTTAGTTTGACTGTGCCAGAGTTTGCTATATACTCCCTTAGCAGATCCTGGGGCTATCAGCAGGAGGTATGGGCCCACCAAGTCACCCCTAAACAGACATTGAAATCTGTTCGAAAAGTATTCTTTACATTGATGATTTCCCTCCATCCACATAAGCGTGGATTATATGCATTAGGCCACATAATACTATGACAAATTGAACATGCAACAAATTTGTTCATCATGTTTAGGCATCTTCGTCAACAGGCCATCATTTAGTTTAACTGCTACACAGTGAACTATGGCCCTTTCCTGCATGGTATGTCCCAAAAGTTGTCTTTCACAGGGTGTTGATAATGTCATTGGGATGCTTCATATACATGAACACATGCTAATGCTTCTTTAATTCCCTGAAGCCCATCCTGGACCTTCAGATTCACGCAAAGGAGGAGTTTTCTGCGGGCTTACACATTCACTTTCATGGAAATTTGTCAATATATCTAAAAGTAAATATCATTTTCTGTTCTAGCTTTTCCTTGTTAGCATTATCCATTTATTGGCTTCCTTTAGATTAGCAAGCACTTCTCCTTCTTTGATTGATTTTCACCCACATCCTCCTCCTACCCCTGAAGTAAAGACATAAGGATCAGCAGAGGACTTACCTATAGAGGGGGAGGCAATATGAGTCCTGCCAATGCCTTCCCCTTTATTCATTTCATTCCAATAGACTAGGGTTGGATAAGTACAGGCTTTTTTTTTTTTTTTTTTTTTTTTGAGACAGGAGTCTCGCTCTGTCGCCTAGGCTGGAGTGCAGTGGCCGGATCTCAGCTCACAGCAAGCTCCGCCTCCCAGGTTTACGCCATTCTCCTGCCTCAGCCTCCCGAGTAGCTGGGACTACAGGCGCCCGCCACCTCGCCCAGCTAGTTTTTTGTATTTTTTAGTAGAGACGGGGTTTCACCGTGTTCGCCAGGATGGTCTCGATCTCCTGACCTCGTGATCCGCCCGTCTCGGCCTCCCAAAGTGCTGGGATTACAGGCTTGAGCCACCGTGCCCGGCCAAGTACATGCTTATAACACTGGCTCACCTGCTAGGTAGGAAAGCAGAAACCGATCCAGTTCAGACAAGTCAGGAGAAACACAACTTGTCATTCGTTGAGGGAATTGTACAGTGACATTGAGGGACATGGTCATGGTGTCGTGTTAGCAATTGATCCTTATTCTGGAACTCTTGAATGCATTTCAACTCCTGGCACTACAAGATCAGGCAGAGAAGAAGAAAATAAACTAGAAGTAAAGAAAAAGTTTATGTAACTTCCTATGCCCCATTCCTTCTTCCCTATCTTCCCCACAATATCTCAACACTCGATTCAAAGGCAAACCCTCTTTACTTCCACACATTCTACATTTTAGCACATATGTATTCAGTCATGGTAAGCATCACTTCAATTCTTAGCACCTCCAATTTACTAAGCCAGTGTTTCAATTTCCCATTCCCATTTTCAGTCAGTCTGCTACTTTGTAGGTAGTCAACTTCCTTGTATATGACACCTTTTAGCTCGCAGTGCAGGGCACTCTAATAAAATTGATTCCTGGATTTGACAGTATATAAGCAGGAAGTCCAAACTGAAATAGTTTTATTTGCTCTAGGCCTCTATGGTGTTAAAGGAATTTGCTTCAGCTGTCAGATGTGCAAACTCAAATCCAGAATGAATATCCATCCCAGTGAAGACCCACTATATCTACCACAAAGTTGGGAATCCACTTGCCAGCTATAGGCAGGCCCAGATCACCTTGGTATGAGGCCCATGACTGTATTCCATCTCTGATGCTCCTGTTAACAAATAGAACAATTTTTAGTCACTGTTCAAGCTGCTAAAGGAGACATTTGGATACGTCTCTCTCCTTGTAATTGTTGCATTGCTCAAATGCTTCTATGGCTGCTCAGAGCTCAATTTGCATACCTAAAAGGCCGCTTCCAAGGTGCACTGGAGGACATTTGCTTATTGGTCCCAGTCTCCTCAGAAATAAGAAGGGGGCTTTTTAACGGGCATGGACATGGGTCTCACATTAATTCCCCCTTCAAGTCCGCAGATTTTTCTATAACAGAGCATCCCACTAGGTGTTCCTTTTATCTTTCGGTCATCTAAGGCCCATTTTCCAAATCACATTGCCAGTCAGCTAGTTCCTAGCTCAAAATCCTAGCTGTTGCCGCTGGGTGGCAGTCACAGGCCTTTATCAGAAGCTCCAGTCAGCAGAGCTGCAAGTAGCAGAAACTTCCCAAATCATTTCATTCAGTTCTCTTTTCATCTACAGTTCACCTCCTGGATCCATCAGCTTTTCTATAAGAATGTAGAATTTCTATAAGAATGTAGAATATTATTTTCTATAAGAATATAGACCATTCCAAACAGTGTCATAAGGGATTCATGGGCACTAATGTTACCACATATAACAGATCTGCAATAAAGGGCAAACTTTATGCCCACCAGGGTATCCTCTATTGTTTTAAATTACGATTTAAGTGGTTTCATTCTAACAATTTGTGAGGCAGCATGCCTAAAAACAGGGGAAGGAGGAAACCTGAACAAAATCCCTTGCCCAGTGATTTTGATAAGGAAAAATGTCCTCAGACATCACATCCATTGCAGTGATACTTTGATCAGAGTAGGGCAACACCATGCACATTTTCATCCATAAATCTCCACTTTAAGCCATACTTTCACTTGGTCGCCTTCATGAGTTGCAATACCACAAACTTCTAATTTAACTACATTGCCCTTTATCACTTCATTCGCAGGTTTAAGTACCAATATTCAGCAATCTTGATAAAGTTTCTACACTATGCATGAGCATAGTGTAGAATTATCTATACCAATGTAGAATTATCTATACCAATGTAAACAGCTAGGGGTCCTTGGCTGAGGATTTTTCCAAGACACTTGGGCTCTCTCATTGCATTGCACTTTTGACATTGGTGTAAGCTCTGAAGAGATTTTAGACTCTTTTGTGTAACAATCAAATTTTTAATCCATAACATTATTACTAGGATATATTTACTAGGATGAACTTACTGGGATAAATTTTCTAGGATACATTGAGTGAATCGGTCTCATTCATTTTATCATCTGAGTTGGTATTACAGCTTTTATAATCTTTTATAGCAATTCATTAACATTTTAGTGACTATTCTATCTCCTCCTTTTTCATGCCATTTTTTAATCAACAATAACATATTTCTGCCTGGTTCAATTGTTCCAAAGTTTTTTCCAACTCCTGTATTCTTATTGTTTAATTTCTTCTGAATAATCCTGCTCTTTTTCTTGTCATTAAATACCCTATTTGGGGGAGCTGAGTAAAGAGATCAACTGCAATTTTCCTCAAATCTTTTTGTCCCCCCAACAATGTAGGCACCCAAGGAGTCCAGGAAGTTGCAACTTTTGTTATTACAACATCAACCCTCACCTACGCCAGTGGTAGCAGAGGTTCCCAACTTTTTTGGCATCAGGGAATGGTTTCATAGAAGACAGTTTTTCCATGAACCAGTAAGGGTAGAGTGTGTGTAGGGGTAACTGTTTCATTTCAGATCATTAGGCATTAGATTCTCATAAAGAACATGCAACCTGGATCCCTCACATGCACAGCTCACAGTAGGGTTTGCACTCTGGTGAGATCTAGTGTCCTTGCTGATCTGACAGGAGGTGGGGCTCAAGCAGTAATGCTGGCTTACCTGCTGTTTACCTCTTGCTGTGCAGCCTGGTTTCTAAGAGGCCATGGACTGGTCCGTGGCCCAGGGATTGGGAACCCCTGAGTTATAGCATTAAGTTATGCATCATCACATAACCAATATAAAGTTACCTGCGTCTTTAGCATTTCAGTACCTTTGGGGTACTCCACTTAATATCTAAGAGAGGAGTGAGACAACTCTCCTTTTCAGGGCATGAATCACATACTCTTGCCTTTATGCAACTTAACAGAGTGGGACCATAATTCTGTGAAAGCTGCAAGCCAATTTAGGATCCTGAGTAAGATCCAACATGAAGTTACCCAGGATCCCCCAAACTCAATTTCCATTGCAAAAGCAATTGTGAAAAGAGCTGCAAAATGAACCTAAAAAGTGGCTTAACTCTTTTATAATGGACAAGACTCCAAAGCAAATATCTGACCAGTCCCCTGTGGACACTCCATTCCACACAGGCAGATACAGGGCCTAACACTGAGGCTCTTGCAGCTTCACTCTGCCTCTCTGGGATCGTCACTTTAGCTAGAACAGATGGGAGCAGCCAAGACACCTATTCTTGGCTGACTTCTCCTCAGTGTAAACCTTTTTTGTTACCCATTTAGCTACCTCCCCTGGCCCTGGTCCACAAATGCTTTTCTACCCATCTGTGGACAGAATATTTTTGTGACCTCAGTCTAGGAGTGGGCGGTCAGAAGCCAGCAGAAACCAATGCTTTCATCCCCCCAACCTTAGCTCATCTTTCCTTCTCCTAAGCAATGCCTTAGCTGTTACCTAAATTACAGAATAGAAAGGGTCATTTCAAATGTCTGGTCTGGGTTACTCACCGTATAGTGTTCCCCAGTTTGGGTATTTTGAAAAGTACTTGCCATAGAGTATACTCATCTGAGGTTTTATTTCAAGGCAAAAGATTCAAGGCAGCAGGAGAAAGGAAATACAGACATTCCTGGGAGGTTGAAGAAACATCAGGAGGCACAAACTCCCCAGGGCCCTGTCTTTGTAAACTAGGGATCTGGCTTGAACCAACTTCATGCAAGGAATCCTGAGAAATCCCCCCAAAAGGCTCTCTAGCTTTCTAAGTAGTCATGCCAGGTTATCAAACCGGTTAGGCCAGTTGCAAACCCTCAGTAAAGAAACTGACCCTTGGGGGTTTCCTGGGAGAGTTTGGATTCTAAGTAGCACATCATAAACACCACTGCCATTATCTTAGTCAAAAGTAAAACCAGACATCCAGCAGTCCCCAAGGATAAAGATAAAGTATTTTCAGTCCCTCTGTAAACCAGCTCTCTCTCTACATATCACCTCACCAGAAAACTCAAAGCATTTATTGCCTATATTATGTAATTACAGTACACCATTGTCTAAAATTAAGTAAAAATTTTAAGGTTATATGTATATGTTTTATCTCTCTAGCTATATCAAAAGTTTTGTGATGAATGAGTTCATTGATTCATTGCTAAGTTAATATGTACTGAATAAAATAATGAAAATTACCATAATTAATACATGAAAAGTAATGATACTGAAGTAAATGAGAAATAAGTCACTACTAATCCACAATACTGAAAGAGATTTTCTAACCACCATAAGAGAGATGGCACCAGCCAGGTTGTGCCTGGGAAAATATATATCAGAATTTCTACTTCAGTTTCACATCACTTAAATATAGACTCAGGAAACTTAAATTATTAGTCAGTGTAATAATCTAGGTCCTATGCAGTTCAACAAAGCAAGAATGAATGGTAAAATAATTGAAAAGGAAGAAATAAATTTTTTCTATGAGTAGACAATTTAATTTTCTACATAGAACATTCAAGAGAATTATATATGAAGAGCTGAGATAATGACAGTATATTTTTTCTTTTTTTCTTTCCACTTGCATGATGATGATGATATAGGTATTTATTTTTGTTACGTTTTATACGGGACATTTATGCCTTCACTTTTTGAATATGTGCTATATTTCACAAACTTGAAAAATTTTAAATTCATGAGAATTGACAAACTATGGGAAATATTTCCAAAAATTAAGAAATTAAAATCAGTAATGCCCCTAGGTTGCAGCAGTAACAAATTGGAAGTTTTGATTAAAAGAGATAAAGTGAATCTTAGTTTATGTGAAAGTATTTTAGGGTTTGTGAGGGGGTTGTTGGAGAAATCTAGAGTGGATGACTCTGTGTCAAGACAGTAAATTGGAGACTCATATGCCCTCTGGGTTTAGTAGAGGCAGACCAGCTGTGCCTCTAATAGCTGGATGTCGTATCTACTATGTTGGAATTATCAATACGAGGAATTATCGAATACTTTTTTCCACTAAGACCTGTTGCCCACTCCCAAGGTTAGACTTCCTCTCCTAAATATTTCTGATCACACTAAGAAAATTTTTCCTCTCATTAGCCAGTGTAATTATAGAAATGGCCTACATTTATCGAACATAGTATTCTTCTCTACATCAACAGCATCAAGAAATAGATTTGTTTAAATTGAAGATCTTTTCCCAGGCTTCTGTACAGCCT